TGACTACAAAAATACATGTACTGGTATGTGAAGACATATCTATTGTCTAAATAACAAACTAACAGGCGACCGCTGAGCTTTTTGACTCTTTAATCCACCTTACATACTTACCCTACATGGCATGTTCTAATTAAATTATTATCGGTTTACTTTTATAATATAACTTTGCTCTCGCTAAGCGGCAATTCTCATAATCTCTATACTTATACAAAAATCAATTTCTGTGCGTTAGTCTCACTAAAACTCAAAAACGGCACGACTGATTTTGATGAATAGTTTTGTGTGTCTGAATGGGTCCCTAGATGGTTTACACTTACATTTGAACCAGGTAGGTGGCGCTGAAATCACCGGCGGCTCTGTAGTTGGATATAAAGAAGTATTCAATATTTTAACGATTTTTAGTTTTCTTTGTTAATCCCTTTTTATACATGGTAGAGCCATACTGCAGCTATATTAGTAGTATAGTTGTAGCACAAATGGGTCGGCTCGACCGGGGAAGGACCACGCTCTCATAGAATACCTACTAGCGTAAAATAGCAGCTTAGTGTTTCGTATGGTGAGTGTAGAGAACCGAAGACCCTTTTTACTGGAAAAGAGGCATTCCATCTTAGTCCTCACGGATGACAACGCATTTTGATTCGCAAACGAGGATAGATGTAGATGTCTATGGGCCACAGCAACTATTTACCATCAGGTGGGCTGTGTGATCGTTTGTCACCCTATCCTATTAAAAAAAAATTTTTTTATAAGACCCTTCTTACTACTAACGAGCCATTCTATCTTAGCCTCATGTAAGATCCCATACATCCACATAATATGACCTTTTAAGGCTGTGTAAGATAGATATAGATGTCTATGGACCACATTATCCCCTTACTAGGTGGTCTGTGTGCTCATTTTGTCATCCTAATTCTATGAAAACATTAATAAGTGCGACTGTAATATAAATATACAGTTTTATATTTAATTTATCCAATTATGCAAGCACCAGCCATTTTATTCACTGCTGGGCTTAGAACTTCTGTCTGGTACTTAGGCTTATGTCCAGTAGTGGGCTTTTGCTGGTTGATGACGAAGAAAAAGGAGAAGAGTTATCATTTGCCTATCCCATATTATCCTTCACTTGGTAACTCCTTTAAGGTCGACCAAAACCTTGCGATAGTGCATTTTTCTTCGTTATTCAGAGCCTATTATCTCGCTAGTTAAGAAAAATAAACTACATCTAAAATCACATTATTAATGTTTGATATCCTATCTTCACATTCCACGTTCTAATTTGTTTTTATGTGTTATAAATACATTTAAAATCTACTTTTAAAAAATTACTAATATTATTGATTACATGCATCTGTTGCTAAAGGCAACGCTGTACATAATGATTTCTTATATTTACGCGAACACTACACATTGAATAAAACTATTTTTACGGATTTTATCGCGTTTAATTAACTTATTTTATATTCCCGACGTTTCGGTTGCTTTCCAGCAACCGTGGTCACGGGGGACTGAGGTGATTCACGTCCCGATGTCAGTGTTAAACCGGAGTACCTTCAGCTTTTTTAATTAATAATTTTGGTCCGATCTACGCAGAATGAACTAACTGTGTCTTGAAGTCTTGCAGTGGTATGCTTGGGTTTAGTTTTAATTTTATGAATTACAGGATCCCAAGCAGGTGGTAGTACCCAGCCTCCCTCTCTATTGAAATTAGGATGTTTTTTAATTTCAATAGCCTCACGTATCATCCTTGGCAGGAATCGATGTTCTTTAGCGAGAATTTGTGGTCTATTAAATCTAATGTAATGGCGGGGGCCGTCTAGGATATGATCACAAACTGCAGACTTCCCGGAACGTTGGTGCTTCACGTCATCGTTTTGTTTGCCCTATATATGAGAGACCACACTCACAATCAAGCTTGTACACTCCTGCATCTTGTAGAGGAATATTGCACTTGACGGATGGTAAGAACTGACTAATCTTCTTCGGCGACTTGAAGAATGTTCTAATAGAAGCTCGCTTCAAGATGTAGCCAATCTTGTCTGTGACACCTCTGACATACGGTAGTACAGCAGGCACACGCTCGACTATGGCCGGCTTCACTCGGTGACTGTGACGTAGGCGCGGAACCCGGAGCCTGTTGTCATGCAGAACCTGCTTGACGTGCTGAAGCTCGGTTGCCAGGTGTTTGCTGTCACAGATCCCTCGTGCTCTCTGTAACAATGATTTGCCCACGGTAGCTAACTGTGAAGGATGATGGTGGGATTCACCGTTTAAATATCGGTTTGTATGGGTCTTTTTTCTATACACAGTGTGACCTATGGTATTATCAGGATTTCCAATGACTAAGACATCTAGGAAAGCTAAAAAATTATTTGCCTCTAACTCCATAGTAAATTGAATTTTAGAGTTTATGGAATTAAGATGTTCTAAAAATGCAGTTACTTTGTCTGATGGTAAAAACTAGGTATTCATGTTTTATTTAATTTTTAAAGTTCGCTTTTATTTTTTAATTAAAATTAATTCCAAAAATTGTGTGAATTCTATGATAAATGGGCGTAGGTACGCATAGTGCGGGCGGCAGTGCACTGCATGCTCAAGGTTGTTTGTTTGTTTGGTCAGAGAAACGCCTTAATGGCTAAATGCCGGAAAGTATAGAGGGTCAGTGTAATCACAGGCTGTGAGGTATTCCATCTTAGTTCTCAGAGGTGACAATGTATCTGTAGCCTGCTTTGTTTGAAGTTGGTGGGTTTGATAGCTGTCCATGTACTGCAGTTACCATTTACCATCAGCTCACGTATAGTTTTACAATAATTTAAAATTAAAAATTTTGTACAGCCGACTTCAATATAAGTTATTTAAGAATAACTTAAAAACTATTGGTCTGACCTTGATCAAATTCATATGGGACCACACGAGAAGTACCAGCTTTCAAATAAAAAAAGAATCATCGAAATCGGTTCACCCAGAAAAAAGTTCTGAGGTAACACACATAAAAAAAAACGAAAAAAAAAACATACAGTCGAATTGAGTACCGGCTCCTTTTTGGAAGTCGGCAGAAAAATAAGAATCAGAAGGCCATTACAATGTAGTCTGACATAACATACCAATTAACTCGAGTTATCGATTTTACCTACTAAGTATATTTTGTTTCATACAATCATCGCGTCTATGAAAAACAACATAGATATCAAAGATCAAACGCTGATCTTTGGTTGCATTAATGTATTCGTAACCATTTTTCTTTTGAAATAACACAAAAGGTTTTGTTTTCACCAATTTAAGAGGGTGATTCGAAGAAGCCACCGTCTCCAGAGCCGGTCTTGCTCACGTACTTCTTATTAATGAATATATTTTTAGTTAGTTTTTTTCCCTCATCTGTATTACGTTTTTTTTTATAATACTAATTGCGACTTCAGTTATTGAAACCATTTTTTCACTAGACGGAAAAAATTTAAGTAATGACAAACGTACGAACGAAGCACACGCACACGCACACGCACACGCACTCGCCCATAGCGGTACCGTACTGCTGAGCACAGATATAATATTCTGTCATAAAATATACCTTCCTTAATATTGTTTGGCAAAGAAAGAGATAACTTTAATTCTTTACTCCACTTTTTAACATTAGAAAGAAAAGATGTATACGTAATCTTTATTTGCTAAAGGTAGTCATATTTTGGTTTGGTTTGTGAATTTAACTGAATCAAAGGGGTAGTAATTTATAGCCAATAAATACAATCATTTTGATTAAATCGATGGTTTTAGGTTGGTACAAAAATGAAAAAAATATTTTTTCAATTTATTAACTTTGTCTGTGTGGCTTTATATTATATATATGTTCATAAGGCTTGTGTGCTGCTTGGGATAGTCTCTGTCTTAAAAGAAGTGAAAGAAGTAAGCACTTTTTGGTCCTTGTCCATAAAATAAAACAACAAAATTATTAAAACACGGTTACATCTTAAAATATTATTATTTAATTGAGATAAGTGAAGAAGGGATAAAAGTGTAGTTTCTAAGACAAAGGTTTTTCATCTTTTATACATATCTATGAAGACAACTATCTGTGATGTTTTAAAAACTACTATACAGCGTTAGTAATAAAAATATTCTATTATACAGCTGATTAAAAACTAATGGCTGCATGATAGAATCTATAACATACATAGTACAGCTATTAAGACTATAAGACCCTCGAAATGTGGTTTTGGCTGTTTAGCAAATTGTCGCCATTTTAGGACCTATAAAAACAAAATTTAAATTGTAAAGTTAGGAATATGAGACATTAGTTTTAGCATAAACCATTATTTTTAATTTGACTAATGATCACTGTGCCCCACCCAATATGCATTCATATTCACTAATTTAATTATTTTCTTATTCTAACCTATAAAATCAATATTTACTTACCATATTTAGTATTTTGCCCTTATATTATTTCGTTATTTTGCTGGTGCGGCAATTTTTTGATAGAAATCATATACAAGTTTACCGTAAATCTAATTTTGCACTTTCTATTCACCAGTTATCACCGTCAAAATTCAACTCAAATCCAGGTAATATTAATATGTAATATAATCTTTCACTCATTGAATGTCGCCATCATTCAATAAAGTATATAAATAAATCTATTATGTTTGTCATAACTTCATTTGTGATACCGTTCAAACACCAATTTAGAACGTTTATCTTTATAAGATACTACTAAGATAGTATTTATAGTGTAATAGTTTCCTTGTACACCAAATAACAACTATAATACAGCTATTATACAGCGCCTTTTATGCTTGTACAGCTACTGTACAACTCTACTAACGCATAAAGCTGTATAATTTGTGCCAATTTTTTTACTTATAAGAGCTGTATAAGCGCTTACAAAGCCTTTGTACAGCCAGTAAATGCAGCCTCTAGTATAAAAAGGAACTTCAATACAGCTCCTATACAGTTTGCATGCTGACTTGGGTGATAATTATTGACTTTCGTTGTTTTTTCCAGAAGCCGCAATGAGTGCAAACATTACAATATTTTTGGTCTTCGTCACAGTTTCTACGGTGACCGCACAAACCTTTCAGTACTCCCGGGGCTGGACCAATGGTAAACGGGACGGTCACAGAAAAGAAGAGGTTATCAGTAGCTTGGAGCGAGTTTTCAGTCCCTGTCAAATGCGCAAGCTTAAATATTTGCTTGAAGGAAAACCCCTGAATGACAGAGTAAGTGGGAAAGCAGCTAGTATTTTTTTTTATTCTTTACTTTAATCAACTCGGGTCTTGCAAAGGTGCCTTGTGGCATTCAGCAGTTTTTTACAGGATACGTTTCGGAGAGTTTGCGCAGTAATTGTGTGATTTAATTCCTCCCTTTACATTCCTTCATCGGACCACCAGACGTTCGGCTGGCCTCCAACCGTTTGTAGTCGACATACCACGCATTCGAATTTCGAACCAAACGGTTTGCTTCGTCGTTCATAATGACTACGGCAAAGAAGTGGAATAATTTGCCAGCATCTGTCTTTCCATCCGATTATAATCTGGGTATCTTCAAGGCAAGAGTGAATAGGCCTTTGATAAGCTAAGTGAGTTTGCTTTAGCATCTTGTTGCATCACCACTTACTATCAGGTAGGATAGTAAGTGGCTAAAGCTTGGCGTGCTCAGCAGAGCGGTACAGTATTATATGCCGGCACAATGCCTGCGACTTAACAAGGCGTAGGTTCGGCCTCACATGCAATACTGTTTCCATCTCAGGGCCGGGACTCCAGCGTAGAGCGGTTAGAGTTATCGGTGACCGAGCTCTTTCTGATCGGCTTGACTCACTGATACTGAGAAAAGATGTTGCATCTCTTTGCGTTTTTTATCGCATCTGCCACGGGGAGTGCTCTGAGGAATTGTTTGGACTAATTCCAGCCGCTCAATTTCACGATCATACATCGCGACAAAACTTGCAATACTATCCATACCATCTGGATGATTGGCGCTCCACCACTGTATGATTTACAAGAAGTTTTCTTCTTCGTACAACTTCCTTGTGGAATCGACTACTCTATTTTAATAAATGACGGCAAATTCCATTGGTGTTGCAGATGTTCATGTGCGGCGATCACACTTACCGTCAGGTGAGCCGCATGCTCGTTTGCCTCCTCTTCTATAAAAAAAGTAGTTAAGTACTGGCTTATAAAATTAAAAAAAAAACGGGTCAATTGTTTCACTTATATATGTGGTTAAGAATATCCACTACCCCATATCTTCCCGTGAGTGTCGTAAACGGCGACAAAGGGAAACAGGCAGGAGATGGGCAGCAGCATCTTCCTGATAACAGCAAAAATACAATAAAAAAACTGCGGTTGCCAACCCGGTGGAGGTTCGGTTGCCACCTACGATGACTCGACCTGGCAACATACAACGCACGCACCCTGAGGACTGACGAGAAGATTGTGGAGCTGGAAGAAGAGATAGACAAGTTACGCTGGCATATGATAGGATTATCCGAAGTCCGAAGAGAGGGGGAGGAAACGGTAATCCTCGAATCCGGCAACTTGCTCTATTACCGGGAGGGCGACCATCTGTCCCAAGGAGGTGTCGCATTTATCGTCCACAAGTCTCTCGTTAACAACGTTGTAAAGATTGAGAGTGTGTCGACGAGGGTTGCGCACCTTATACTCAGAATCACCAAACGGTATTCGCTGAAGGTCATACAGGTTTACGCACCAGCCTCGGCACACCCCGATGAGGAGGTGGAGGAAATGTATGAGGATATCTCTAGAGCCATGCATTCCTCCAAAACCCAATATACGGTGTTAATGGGAGACTTCAATGCAAAACTAGGCACAAGAGAGAATGGTGAGCTGAAAGTAGGGAAATTTGGAATAGGGCAACGGAACCCAATGGGCCAGCAGCTGGCCGACTTCATGGAGAAAGAGGGACTCTTTATGATGAACTCTTTCTTCCAGAAGCGACCCCACAGGAAGTGGACCTGGTCGAGCTCCGACGGTTCGACAAAAAATGAGATTGACTTCATTATGACGACCAGACGACAACTGTTCAGTGATGTCTCAGTGATCGCGAGGGTGAAAAGCGACAGCGATCACCGAATGGTTAGAGACACTGAACCTAAACGTTAAGTTGGAGAGGTCTCGTCTAATGAAGTCAACGCTCCGTCCCCCTCGTGCTCTAATCCAAAGTCCCGAAACCTTTCAGCTCTAGTTACAAAACCGTTTTTAGTGCCTAGAAGACTGCAATGAAGCGGACGATATGAATGACAAGCTCGTGGAAACTGTTCATGCGGTCGGAGCTAAGTTCTGCAAGACCCGCCGCAGAACACAAAAACTATCCGATCACACTCTTAATCTCATGGCTGTTAGACGGGAGATGAAGCTACATTCTTCAACAGATTTGACAGCATACAGGCAACTGAACAGACAGATCTCCAAATGCATGCGGCGGGACTTACGCAACTTCAATACAGCTCGTATTGAAGAAGCGATCGAGCGGAACCAAGGCTCCAAAGCCTTTGCCAGAGATCTGTCTGCCAGAAAGAGCCAACTGTCAAAGCTGAAGACAGAATGTGGCAGCATCGTTTCCAGGGCACCTGAAATTTTGAGTGAGATTGAGAGGTTCTATGGGCAGCTGTACACGTCATCGTTGGAGCCACACGCGAGTGTGAGTAACGATCCAAGAGCGAGTCTTATCCGACATTATTCCGATGATATCCCGGACGTCAGTCTGAGCGAGATTAAAATGGCTCTCCAGCACCTTAAAAACGGCAAGGCCCCAGGCGAGGATGGAATTACAGCGGAGCTTCTGAAAGCGGGTTAAAAACCGGTACTTGAAGTCCTTTAGAAGCTCTTTAATTCCGTCCTTCATGGTGGCATTACACCGGAGGCGTGGAGCAGAAGTGCGGTGGTCTTGTTTTTCAAGAAAGGCGACAACGCTCTCTTGAAGAACTACAGACCAATTTCCCTTCTGAGCCGCGTCTACGCGCTGTTTTCGAGAGTCATTACGAATCGTCTCGCGCGCAGACTTGTCGACTTCCAGCCTCCCGAACAAGCCGGTTTCCGAAAAGGCTTTAGCACCATAGACCACATACATACCCTTCGGCAAATTGTACAAAGTCAGAGGAGTACAATTTGCCACTATGTCTGGCGTATGTGGACTATGAGAAAGCCTTTGATTCCGTCGAAATTTGGGCGGTGCTGCAGTCTCTTCAGCGGTGCCAAGTGGACTGTCAGTATATCGAAGTGCTGAAGTGCTTGTACAGTAGGGCTACGATGGCTATCCGAGTACAGAACCAGAGTACGAAACCTATCCAATTGCAGAGAGGTGTAAGACAGGGTGACGTCATATCCCCGAAAATCTTCACCGCTGCATTGGAAGACGTTTTCAAGCTTCTGGACTGGAAAGGATACGGTATCAACATCAATGGCGAGTACATCGCTCACCTTCGATTTGCCGACGATATAGTTCTTATGGCAGAATCGCTGGAGGACCTAAGCACTATGTTCAATGACCTCAATAGTGCTTCCCAACGGATAGGTCTTAAGATGAACATGGACAAAACAAAGATCATGTTTAATGTCCATGTCACACCTATGCCGGTAGTTGTTGGAAGCACTAAGCTCGAAGTTGTTGACGAGTATGTTTACCTGGGACAAATAGTCCGACTAGGTAAGTCCAACTTCGACCGAGAGGTCAATCGACGGATTCAACTCGGTTGGGCAGCGTTCGGGAAATTACGGTACATCTCGTCAGGCATACCTCAAAACTTGAAAACAAGACTGTACTACCAGTGCGTGTTACCAGTGATGACAAACGGAACTGAGACGTGGTCCTTCACTGCTGGCCGGATGAGGAAGCTCATGCTATGGAGTGGGCTATGCTCAGAGTTTCTCTGCGTGATAAACTCAGATATCCGCAGTAGAACGAGAGTGACCGACATAGCCGAACGCATTGGTAAGCTGAAGTGGAAATGGGCCGGCCATATATAGCTCGAAGAACCGACAACCGATGGGAAAGAAAGGTTCTCGAGTGGCAGCCTCGTACCGGCAGGCGAAGTATTGGGCGTCCCCCCACTAGATGGAGTGACGACCTGGTAAGATATGCAGGAAGTCGATGGATGCAGGTTGCTCGGGACCGTGCTTTGTGGCATTCCTTGGGGGAGGCCTATGTTCAGCAGTGGACTTGTGAAGGGCTGTAATGGTGATGATGATGATGATGATATATTCAGTCAGATTACAATTTATTTGATGAATAACTTTAATCTGACGATTAGAAAATCGTCTCTTAATGATTTAAAGGATTAGGTGATTGGCGGTAAATGAGAAACATCACGAGGAAACCTGCATGTCTGAGAAATATAAAACGTTTCGAATGTGTGAAGTCTGCCTTCACGCAATAGGGCAGCGAGGCGGATTCTTTGTTAATACCAAAATATTAAGTTAATATAATAATATGAGAAGATGTCTGTGCCTTATAGTTGGAATTATTTAGGCTGTTTCTCTACTTAATTTTAATTCTCATAAAATTTTGATAGTTTGATCTTATTTTTTGTTATTTATTTTCAGTTTTACGCACCATGTGACTATCACGAAGAAGACCCCGACACGCTGTCTAAGAGATACAAACCGGAGCACAACCAGGAACCTCTCTTTGACGTTTTTCAATGAGTAAAACGAAAAGTCAAAGGATATTGAAATTGAAATGAGAAGATAAATCGATACGTGCTAGTTAATATTACAGACGTTGCCATTTTTGTTACTAAGTTATGTTTTATAATTTAATTATTATCGTGTATTTGCTGATTACAAGACGTGTAGATGCTGATATAAATATGATATATACCTAAAATTTATATTAAAATAATTTTTAGGTATACATACGTTGAACATAATTTACCTTTATTTTGTCCAATGAAAACAAAATATTTATTTAATTGTTTGTAAGTTCAAAAACAAAACAAAATAATAAAATGGAGTAAATGAATGGACATCATTTACTTACCACCAGGAGTATGTGCCGGATTGTGACCCTTACTACCTACAATAATAAATCAACTTATATGTTCATAGGATATAGAACATATTATATAAACATAGGAAATTTCTCTTTTTTCCATCTTTAATGTGAACAAATAAATTAAAAAAAAACTGAACTGAACTATAGTAAAAGTGGTAAATATAAGTATTTAGGTAATTCTTGAACTTGTAATGACTGATAAGAATCGTTTTCATTAAAAACATTTCCTGTACTAAAATTGTGTAGTTTTAAATAATGAAATTGTACATTTTCTGCCGACTTCCAAAAAGGAGACGGTACTCAATTCGACTGTATGTTTTTTTATGTGTGTTACTTCATTACTTTCTACTGGGTGAACCGATTTCGATGATTCTTTTTTTATTTGAAAGCTGGTACTTCTCGCGTGGCCCCATATGAATTTGATCAAGGTCAGACCTATATTTTTTGAGTTATTGTTAATAACCTATATTGACGTCGGCTGTACAAAATTTTTAATTTTAAATTATGTTGCGCTAAGGCCATGCAATTTACCATCTAGGGCTTCATCAACACTTACCATCATGTGGGATTGTAGCCAAGCACTGGCATATGGCTACCCATATGCCAGTGCTTGTAATAAGTATCTAAAAACAGGAAATAATGTTTTTGGTGGGATTTAAAAATGAGATTCCTTTGTAAAATTTACTTTATCATTCTATTGTTAAAAGACATATTTCCATACATACCCTAAGTATGTAATATATTATTTAAACCATATATATATATATATATATATATATATATATATATATATATATATATATATATATATATATATATAAAAAATTCTAAAGAAAACATCTATGAAGAATAGGATTATATAAGTATAAAATTGCAAATGAATGTTGAAGATAGTATAAAATAAATTCTCGAATTAAAGACATGTGATTGAGACATTCGTTTTATTTCTTTCTTTATCATCGGCGCGTACAAGTCTACTCCTGGTTATAGACTTTTCCCGTTACATGGATCGGCAGACTAAAATATCTGGACAAAATTTGAAAATCTTGAGATTTTGGGGTTTTTGTCGGGAGAAATAACCACAATAATCCATCGTTTTAAATGAAAAGCGCGGGAAGTGTTGCTGGAAAATGAGGGTATCCACGGCTTTTTTAGCCACCAGGGCGGCGCCACTAGAAAGTAAGGTATAATATTTGAGAGATTTCATAGCTAATATAGTTAATTTGTACGGAAAATGTAAAAGTTATTGTTTCTTTCTGTACTATTAGTTATATTTTATATTAACAACATTAAAAATAAATATGCCAAATCACAATTATTCATAAAAGTATAAAAATTCAAAATAAAGAAGTTAAAAATGTGAAAAAGTTAAAGAGCAAACCACTGACGCATTGTTTTGTGTATTAATACTCTAGAATAATAGATACTCTAGAAATTGATAAGCTTTAATTAAAAACAACTTCTCAATTAAACTACATTGTGTAAAAAATTCTTTTACCTGTGTCAATGTCTAATAATTTTCTGCTCACTAGATGTCACTAAGATCTGGTGAGCAGAAAATTATTAGCCTTCATTAATAGAACTTTGTTTTCTTTTAAATATTGAGCAATTGGCATATGGAGTTCTATTTTTAAATAAATTTGCTTTTTAGAAACATATAACACGGGTGTGTTCCGTTTTAAATTTCGAGCATCTCAAAACTTATTGAGTAACCTACGTCCTACGTACAGTGGCGTAGCTACCCAGGGGCTAGGCGGGGCAGTGCCCCTCAGCCTCCAAGAACGACGTTCGATAAAACTATGTACTATCCTATTCGTATAAAGAATTTTCGAGTTTTAAATTTTTGGCCCCTGATCGCGAACGGCTCGCACTGAAATCAATAAAAATTTAATCCCACTTCCAGAATATGAATATAACATTGTTAAAGATAATTGTCTACTTAAGAGTGGGACAAACGAGCATACGGCTTACGTGATGGCAAGTTTCGCCCATCGCTTATTAACAAATACAACACCAGGGGAATTGCAGGCGCGTTGCCGGCTTTTTAAAAAGGAGTAAGCTCGTTTCTTGAAGCTCCCTAAGTCATATCGGTCTGACAGTAATGTACCGCCAAACATCCCGATGATGTGGATTTGTGAAATGCGTTGATGAAATTTTGTTGCATAAAATACTGTCCCGCTCTGCTAAGCACGCCAAGCTTTTTAGAGGCCAACTCAGCCTTCCCTTCCAAGTGACCACGAAACTGCACGTTATTCGATATGTCAACTCCAGGAACTCTGAGGAACTCTATCAGGCCCACTCGACTTGATGTCTGGGGAGAATAATGCTATGCACCGAGCGCTGTGTAAGCCGTATGGTACCGACCTGAAGGCGAAATTACACTTCTTTTAACAGCGCTGGTGAAGCACTCTTATTATAGTGCGATGCAATTTTACAGGAGCGACCAAACCAGGCACCACAGATGATAGAATAAAGGGTTCCATTCCCTTTTTTTTATAGGATAAGGGTGACAAACGAGCACACAATCCACCTGATGGTAAGTGGTTGCTGCGGCCCATAGACATCTACATCTATCCTCTATTACAAATCAAAATGTAGATGCATTGTCACTCGTGAGGACTTAGATGGAATGCCTCATTTCCAGTAAAGAGGGCCTCCGGCCACCTGCACTCACCAAGCGAAACGCAGAGGTAAATCTCTACTTCACGCTGGTTTTCTGTGAGGTCGTGGTACCACCCCGGTTCGAGCCGGCCCATCCGTGCTACAGCAAAAGCTGCCGCGTGGCTCTACCACTGTCAAAAAAGTACTGTATATGTACTGTAAGTAGTAATCCCTGAAGTACCACATCAGCGACAGAATCACGTTGGGATCATCCGGCGAGCAGCATACTGTCCTCAAGCGAAGGATGCAAAAAAGACCGCATCCTGTCCCAATCGGCCGACCTATAGTTCCAAACACGGCGGCGATCTGCAGAACGCAACCGTGATGTGTGTGTGAGTGGCACCATAGTCTGGAGCAGACAATGGTCCAATGAGCCAAGAGGGGCGTCGACGGAGACCTGATATCCGCCCGGATGAGAGATCAGCAGAAGGTCCTACAGGGAAGGTGCACGATTCTCCACATCTAGAATCCGCGTAGGTGAAGTAATCATTTGTGTCGGACCATATGCCAAGGCAAACTTATGCACAGGTCTTCCTGCATGATCGGTTAAACGAGAACCAAGGCATTCAGCGTGGTGGCCGTTAAAATCAGCATGGATCACGATCCCTGCAGATGGGACCTGTTGTAGCACGGAATCTGCAGCGATTTGGAAGTGTTCGATGAGTTGGTCTATGTCAGTATTACCTATAGAGGCACCCTTAGACGCGAGGATGGTCGTTGCTGACCTTCAAAACTGCCCAGATGTTCTCTCTGACGTATACGCAAACTCCAGCCTGAGGTACAAAGGTGTTATAATTCGTACCCCGGATAGGAGAGAAGTATTGAACGGAGAGGACACCTGTATCTCGGTTAGAAAGAGCAAGGTCGGCTTCGCCATCTTCAGATGGTGCCTAGTGGACTTCGTTAATGTTCGAATGAAACCCCTGATGTTGCAGAAATTCACGGTTAGCGTGGCAGGAGTCACCTTTGTCTTATTGCTCTACTTGCCACGATCAGTATTAGTCTTGAGCCGAATGTCGCACCGACCTCCCCTCCCCTCTCCAAGAGGCAGCCTGAGCACCCGCGCTAAGGAAGAGTAGGGTAGCTTGGGCGTGGATGCTCAGCCAGGGATTCTCCAATACCAGAGGTGCTGGTACCCTCCTGGGATGGTTTCTTATTTAATTACACTACCATGTTAAGGGGGAGAGGGGTTCAGCCTCCAACCACCTGCACTTAACAGGCGAAGTAAATTTCTACTTCATGCTGGTTATCTGTAAGGTCGTGGATCTCTTCGGTTCGAGCCGGTCTATCCATTCATTACATTCATTTATTACAGCTCTTCATTTCATATCTTACCAGGTCGTCACTGTTACTTCCACGAAGTAGATTATAGTTAATAGTATAGGCAGACTATACTATTAACTATAATCTACTTCGTCATTATTATACCCTGCAGTGTGCGACAAGGAGCTGATGATTAAGTAGGTTTGCACCTTTGAGTATTTAGTTTACTTGAAATAGGGGCCCAATTTCATTTTTGCCCCGGGGCCCTTGGTTACATAGCTACGCCACTGCCTACGTACTATATATAGGGTATCACCACAGAATAAATAATAGTACTAACGTAGTATCACGCACTTTTGATGCTGCTGCATAAACCGTCGTCGATCTGGGTATTTTACGTCTGGCGTGAACATGATGGATAAATTTCCTCTCTCTTTTCATTATTATCATTGTCATTGTTGACCAAATAACATAATTTATCATGTTCGTTATTAAGTAACACATAATAAGGATGGTTAGAATTAATTTATTATGATGATCATAGAGGAAAGTAATATACTGGGAAATGATTATTATGTATACCGCCATCTATCGGACGTCATAATATATGTCAGACACATCGCATAGTCGCCTCCTACGACACCAACTGGATGAAAAGGGATGTTGGATTTTCTTATCCGCCATCACAAGGCGTGTGTTTATTTTGATCATTTTTTTCTTCATTAAT